GCAACATTTTAACTTGCATGTGCTTTTGTTATGTGGCTCAGGCTCACCATCATCTGTGCAGCCCAGGATGATGACCTCAAACTCAAAATACCCCTGTCTCGAATCAAGAGTAATGAGTAGAATTACAGGAATGTGCCAGCAAACCTATGTCTAGAACATTCCTTAACTTCTTTGCAACTTATATTTCACTACTTTGAATCCTGCTGGGAGTTATGTCTGTCGTTCTGCTACTCTGAATTCTTCCGTTGTTCCTAATGACTTGATCTTTTTCTTTAAACTTCAGCCTCATCCTAAACCTTCACCTTTACATGTCTTCATTTTCTTCCATATTTCAGGTGAGACTTTCTGGGTACCCCCAGGCCCACATTTGCACCTCCCTTTCTATGTTCCAGTCATTTTTTAATGCATACTTACTCCAGAAATTAGTTTTTTTTTAATACAAAAGCATTACTACTGGTCGCCTTAGCAAATTAGTAGATTCAAGGCTTAGAAATTAGCATTTTGTTTTAATGGTATAAACATTCTCCATGTCACCAATAATTATTTTTCTCTTTCTCCTAACTGGACTCATTCAAATTCACCTTCAGTCTATCTATCTTTCACATATACCATATTTATCTTTATGAGAATCAATTTCATTAAATTACACTAAGCCTAGAAATCTAATATTAGAATCAGTTCTAGGTGACCTACAACTTGATCATAAGCCAAATTTCTTTTTTATTTCTTTCTTTTCTTTTTCTTTTTTTGTTTTTCAAATGGGGCCTCACTATGTAGTCCTGGCTGGGTCTGGAACTCACTATGTGGACCACTTTGCCCTCAATTCACAGAAATGTGCCTACTTCTGCCTCCCACATGCTGGGATTAAAGGTGTGCACCATGGCTAACTTTACTTGATTTTGTTGTTATTGTTTCATTTTTAATCATAACAGTAGTCTCTGTTTCTAAAGAGTTTCTGATTGTTAATAATTAATTTCATTATTTTTGTATGGTCTTTTTCTTTTCTTTTCTTTTTTTTTTTTTTTTTTTTTTTTTTTTTTGAGACAAGGTCTCCCTGTAGCCCCAGCTGGTCTGGAACTCGCTATGTAGACCAGACTAGTTCTCACAGAGATCTGCCTGCATCTGTTTCCTGAGTGCTGGAATTAAAGGCATTCACCACCATACCCCACTGGACTTTTATTCAACATCTTTAGTGAGTGGTTTGTTTCTAGAAAAACATTGTCTTCTGTAAGTGCATAAACCAATTTTACACATGTTATTTTCAATTTCTCTCCAGAATAGATCTTATTTTGCAGAGATCATAGAATGTTTATTCTCTCTCTCTCTCTCTCTCTCTCTCTCTCTCTCTCTCTCTCGCTTTTGCTTAAGCTCTTTTCTTTCCTAGCTAAGGATTGAACCCAGGGCCTTCAGTAAGTGCTTTACCACTGTGCAATAGCTTAAGCTGAGGCTTTTAATACATCCACTTTTAACTGTAAAAAAATGTTATTACTATATGTTAAAGTGAAGGTCAAATATAATCTTTACCATTAATTCATTTTTAATGTCAGCCATTGGGAATGATTCAGTTCTTTTTAAAAAATATTTTGTTTATTGCTTTTATTTTACGTGTATGAGTGTATTGCCTGCATGTATGTGAGTGCACCCGTGTCATGCAATGCCGAGGTCAGAAGAGGGCTTCAGATTCCCCTGGAACTGGAGTTAAAGACGGTTTATAGCTGCCATGTGGATGCTGGGAATCGAACCCAGGTTCTCTGCAAGAGCAGTCAGTGCTCTTAACTGCTGAGCCATCTCTCCAGCCCCCGATTCAGTTCTTTTAAAATTAAGACAGTCACCAATAAGACTTTCCAAATGATGCATGACATCCCCACCTTCCCCAACTGTCTGACATACATTAAGCCATACAACGATAATACAAATCTCTCCCTTCCATAAGAAACTCTGTCTAAAATAATTAACCTGGATCTGTTTCATAGTATTTTTCACAGACTTCCTATTGCAATACTTTGTGCAAAAAAGGGGTCATTTGCTAACCAATAACAAACCCTAAAAGGAGTAGTTTCTTTGCTTAGAATACTACAAGCCTTCACATTATATTTCTTCTCAATTTTATTTATTCAAACATTTTATTCTAGTCAAGGGGGAAGATTATATGAAAAAGTTATTAGTAAATCTCTTTATAAAAAACTACATCCACCATAAGAAAAATTTTATAGCAATAGTATAAACCAAATATAAACCAGTATATTTATATTTCAAAACAAAATTAAAATGATTTTTATAAGTTGGTGGCTACACACTATAAATTAACACAGTATCAAAGATTCTCAATTTCTATGACTTCCCCAAAGTCAATGTATTATAAATACCTAAACAGTAAAGTAGAAAAGTAAGTACAAAATTAAAAGCATATGAAAATTTAAGAAAAGGCAATGCAATAGAAAGGATTCTAACGTATTCTTATAGGAATTATGTAATAATTATTAACTGTTAAACTCAAAATTTTTGCCAAAAATAGAGTAAGAAAACAGCTTTCATTATTTGAGATAGAGAGGACTCAGTCTATGGTAGACTCCATTGTTTGTAACAACAAACTCAAGAAAGGAGTTTACATAATGTAAAGTTATGCTTTTTCCTAATCTGAAAATGTAAAATGATAGACAGTATGTTTTCTAACTAAATATGCTAGGATTTCCACAACTTAAGGAGTTCACAAGTATTCCAACCAATATAAATTATAACATGAACCAGTATTCAAGTTTCTGAAAACTTAAATCATTGTTCCACCAAATTTCAATGTTAAAGTACAGAAAAAATGAATTATACTATATTCACACAATGCTCTGTGATGGAAATAAAAAAGAAATTTTAACTGTATTCTTTTGTAAAAGAATACTATACACATTGTTCCTAGTTTTTTTTAATTCTACTACAGTGAAACTATTAACACTAAACTTTAGGCTGGGTGTGGTGCACACAGCTTTAATCCTAGCACTTGGGAGGCAGAGGCAGGAAGATCTCTGTGAGTTAGAGGCCAATCTGATCTACACAGTGAGTACCAGGCCAGCTGGGGCTACAGGAAGACCCTGTCTCAAAAAGACCAAAAAAAAAAACCGCTAAATTTTTAAGTTCTCAAGTCATAGATATGTAAACATACAAATATTTAAACAAAGATGAAAGGAATTATTTACTACACAAGTATGACTGGAAAACAAATTAAACTTTTATAGCATAATAAAAAGAAAATAATTAGGCTCAGCAGTTAAGAGCACTCACTACTACTGCAAAGAACCCAGGTTTGGTTCCCAGGTTCTGAATTAGGCATCTGACAGCTATCTGTAACTCAGGTACAGGGGGTCTGAGGCCCTCTGACCCGCAAGAGCACCTGCACACACATGGTGCACATAAACTCATGTAGACAAACATACATACACATAAATTTTTTAAAATCCTTTTTGGAAGGAAAAGAAAGTAATTGAAATTTAACAGAAATAAGAAAGCATAATTGACAGACTGGTATAAAAACACCGTATGTTGGATAGCTTTAGTGTCAACTTGACACACTTGGGTTGAGGGAGCCTCAATTGGGGAATTGCCTCCATTGGACCGGCCTGTGGCCATGTGGAGGAATTTTCTTGATTGTTGAGTGATGTGAGAGGGCCCAGCCCACTGTGGGTGGTGCCACCCCTGGGAAGGTTGTTCTGTGTTATATAAGAAAGCAGGTTGAACATGGGCCAGGAGAGCAAGCCAGTAAGCAGCATTCCTCCATTGCCTATGTTCCAGCTCCTGCCTCCAGGTTCCTGCCATGAGTTCCTGCCTTGAGCTCCCTGATAAACTGTGATCTGGGAGATGTACACTGAATAAATCCTTTCCTCCCCAAGTTGGTATTGGTCAGAGTATTTTGTTTCAGCAATGGGGAAACAAACTAGAACACACTGATATGTATTCATAAAGTGGGAAATTAGGAACATGTAATTTAAGCTGGATGTGGTGGTGCAAGCCTTTAATCTCAGTACCAGGGATGCAGAGGCATAATGAACTCCAGGTGCTGACTTGAAACAAAAAAGAATAAATAATATAAAATATATGTCACACAATGTGTCCTACAATACTTCTTAGACTAATTATAAAAATATTTATACTACAAGGTATTTTGAAAATATTTCACAAGCAGAGTATGGTCTTGCATATCTGTAACACAGCAGCACTGGAAGCCATGAGAGGAGGATACAGAGTTTAGGGGCTACCTTAGAAACTAGTGGTTTCAAGGCCAGCCTGGATTACACAACTGGGCTCAGTCTCAAAATTAAGAAGAAAGAAAGAAAGAAAGAAAGAAAGAAAGAAAGAAAGAAAGAAAGAAAGAAAGGAAGAGAGAAAGAGAGAGAAAAGATGGCTTAGTGGTAAGAGGCTTTGCTGTCAAAGACTGAGTTCAAAACTCCAGAATCCATAAGCCAGATATGGTTGTGAATGCCTGTAGCCCCAGGGCTGTTGGGGGTGGGAACAGGAAGATTCCAGGCAGTTGCTGACTGCCACTCTAGCTCAAGGTTCAGGAGTCCCTGTCTCATGGGAATGATGCAGAGAGTGATAGAAGAGGATGCTGGACATCCTCCTGTTGTCCTCTGGGAATATGGGTGCATACACCCACTTACATTGTATGTATACCACACACTATATATACACATGTACACACAAAAAAAAATACTTCAGGTCAAGAAAGATGATTGTTACATGAATTAAAAACCTCATACCAAGTAAAATATTGACTGCAAGACTGAATGAACATCATTTTTACTGCAAGAAATATTTCCCAAAAGGTAACTTTTTTAAAGCATTGAATTTTTAACAGGAATTGGTATAGCTAAAGAGCAACTATGAATCTGCTAGAATAATTATGTATGTAACCTTTAATTCTTAGAAGATTTTTTTAAAGCCATGGGAAAAGGCTTCAAGTATTTAATATTAAAGAATTGGAAAACTGCAGTGAATAAGTTTGTGAAACTCACATTCTCTGTAGCGCTAGGACCCTGAGGTAAGCTGGGGCTGAAGGCCATGAGGTCAGTCTTGGGCAGGCTCTCCCCAGAGCACACCTTCTGCCTCCTCTGCTGAGAGGAGGACGAGCTCTCTACCTCACTGGAGCACACCAGCACCGGTTTCCCCTGCGCGCATGCACCCTCCGTGGGCACCGCCGAGCAGCGCAGCGCGGTGTAGAGAAGCAGTGTGAGCACCAACAGACTGGACACCGCACAGATGGCGATGATCAGGTACACGTTAACATCCACCAGGGCAGAGTCTGGGCCAGAGGTTCCAACCAACGCCTTAGATGAGACCTTCGGTGAATGTCCGTTTTCCACCAGGGACACCATTACTGTGGCGGTGGCTGTCAGCGCTGGTTCACCATGGTCTTTCACCAGCACCTGCAAGCGCTGTAGCGGCGCCTCGGATTCATCCAGGGAGCGCGTAGTGCTGATTTCGCCCGTGTACAGACCTACACGGAAGGGGCTGTGCGCAGCACCCGCCACCGGCTGCAATTCAAAGGACAACCACGCATTGTAGCCAGAGTCCGCATCCACCGCGCGCACCTTTGCCACCACGTGGCCAGCACCCACTGATCGCGACACCAAATCAATCGTCCCTCCGCCTCCCTGAGGGGGCAACAGCGCCGGCACATTGTCGTTCTCATCCAGCACGAACACCTGAAGAGTCACATTGCTGCCCAGAGCAGGCACACCAGCATCCCGCGCGCTCACCTGGAACTGCAGCAGCTCCAGCTCCTCATGGTCCAGAGGCTGCAGCGCATCCCCCTGCCCCCCCTCCGCGTCCACAGACACGTAGCTCGACAGCGCGCGCCCCCCCCCCCGCCGCTCCACCAGCGAGTAGGACACCAGGGCGTTATCCTGCGCGTCCGCGTCCACCGCCGACACCGTGAAGATGTGGGCGCCCGGCGGGTTGTTCTCCTTCACGAACACCGTGTATTCGGGCTGCGCGAACGCAGGCGCGTTGTCGTTCACATCAGCCACCTCCACAGACACGCTGGCTGAAGCCCACAGCGAAGGCGAGCCTCCGTCCCTCGCAGTCACCATCACGTTATAGAAAGATGTGGTCTCACGGTCCAGGGCTCTGTCCAGCACCATTGAATAGTAATTCTTGAAAGTGGACACCAGCTTGAAGGGGACGTGGGGCATCAGAGAGCAAGTCACCTGCCCATTAGCCCCTGAATCGCGATCAGACACGCTGACCAGGGCGATGACAGTTCCCAAAGGAGCGTCCTCTTTGATAGGCAAAAAAAGGGAGGTAATGGCCATCTCAGGCACGTTATCATTTACATCCACGAGTTTCACTATAACCTTGCAGTGTCCTGCTAGTGGGAATGGACTTCTATCCACAGCATTAACATTAATTTCATATAATTTACAGTCTTCATAATCCAAATCTCCCTTAACTTTTATTTCTCCACTAGTAGAATTTATAGTAAATTTAGATTTAATGTCATCAAGAACAAGATTACTGAAGAAATATAGTATTTCTTTATTAGTTCCCTCATCCTCATCTGAAGCATTGAGTTTAATTACTAGTGTCTCATTCGGTGAATTTTCCAACAATCTGATATTATATACAGATTTATCAAATTCCGGAGCATTATCATTTGCATCCAATACGTTGATCAACAACTGAACTGTACCTGTTAGTTCAGGCTTTCCTCCATCGATTGCAATCAGTAACAAACGATGTTCTTGAGTTTCCTCTCTATCTAAAGGTTTCTTCAAAACTAGCTCTAAAACGTTTGTTTCTTCTTCGTTTCTTTTAACGTCCAAATCAAAATATTGGTTAGAATTTACCTTGTATCTCAAGGCTGCATTTACTCCAATATCTAAATCCGATGCGCCCTCTACCGGAAACCGGGAATCTGGCAATCTTGACTCTAAAATAAGCAATTTTTGTTCTGGTCGCAAGAACCTCGGAGGGTTGTCGTTAATGTCCCTCACCTCCACCTCCACATGGAAAACCTGCAGCGGCCTGTCCACGATCACCTCCAGGTGGATGCTACACTCCGCGCTCCTCCCGCACAGCTCCTCCCGGTCGATCCGAGAATTCACAAACAAAATACCATTCTGCAGATTTACCTCCAGAAGGTCCCCGCGATCCTTGGGCACCACCCTGAACAGGCGGGGCACCAGCTCGGCCAGCTCCAGCCCCAGGTCCTGCGCGATGCGGCCCACGAAGGTGCCGTGCTTGGCCTCCTCAGGGATGGAGTAGTGCAGCTGGCCGCTCCCTGCCTGCCAGGCTGTGAGGAGCAGGAGCGAAAGGAGAAGGCGCCCAGATCCCGGACCTCCTCTCTGGGAATGTAGCATTGCAATCTCGTTCCACCCCTCAACCCTATTACAGCACCTCACACTATCCTTTGAAAACTTAATTCCAATTTACTATCTATTGTATTTCCTCGCCTTTTTTGAGCTTCTGTAGCAGAATCTAAAACAGAAGGTCCCTTTCCTTTCTAAAGTAAAATGTACTCTCAGGATCCTTTTGAGGGAAGGGAGAAAATATCTTGTGGTGTCTAGCGACATCATGTGGATAAAAGGATAAGTATTTTATTTCGTTTTGCTTTATTTACTTACCTTATATTCATGAACTGTTTCTCAAGTATTAGGCAATTTTAATGACATGTTTTCCGACTCTTCTCTCCGATCGAACATCACTTTATTAACCAGGCTCCTTCTATATTTTCATTCCCCTACCCTTTCTGCTGCGTGATCTTGCATTTGGACCTGACTTTATAAACACGACGGACCGACAATAAAACGTGTCAGTATGAGAATATCTTTACATACCGATACATCTTCATCAAAGACATCCCAGTCCTTACTAGATAGGTAGTTGTCTATTTTATTTTATTGAGAGTTTGTCTCCAAACTCGTAAAATAACTTTTAATTGTTAAAATTATGACTATCCTTTCTACACATAGTTATAACTCAAATTTTTAAGTTTTTTCTATGTTATATTAATGGTTGTGTGCTCCCTCAGTGTTACTTGAAAACTCTTGTTCTAATTTTCAGTGTTCAATGTGGGACATTATTGATGTCATTTTCAAAGTAAGTTAAAGAATTTGAGTAACATACTAACTTGGATTCCTTTTTTGAAATCTACCCAAATTAATGAAAATTTAGTTATTTAATTTTCTTTAACATCTACCTATTTTTCATATCATCTCACTGTATTTTGGAGACTATTTTTTAGCTATCAAACAACATTAGTAAGCTTCTTGACACTGTTTCCAAAATTAAGCAGCAGTTTTTCAAATTTCAATTATTGTGTAAAATGTATAATTGCATATTATACATTATTCAAAATCCTAATATTGTCTATTAGATGTAGCATCTCATTAAAGTATCTAGGTTCCAGTAAAAGTGATGTTGAAAAAAATCAGTTTATTGACAAGGCTTCTTCTATATTAGCCTCATTACATTCCAATCCTCAATTCTTTTGTTGCAAGGTCTTGACCTTACAAATCCAATGGATTTCACTTAATAAATACTGCCAAAACAAAATGTCACTGATATTTCTATTGACAAAATAGTTCTCATTCTGCTTTATATATAGTCCATAGAATTTCTTAAACATTGCAAAATCTTTCTTACCAGTAAGGACAAGAGAAACTAAGAGATAAGTTCTATTTCCAGATATTTTACATCTAAAATGTACCTTGACACCTTCTGACACTATAAGAAATAATAAAAATTAAACAAAATAATATATAAATTAGAAAAAATGAGATGCTACCACAAAATTCATTCAATTAAAATTCACTCAATTGCTTTGTAACACAGAAAATAAGATTAGATCAAAAAATTCTATATAATCTTTAAAAAGTATATTTATCACTTACATTAGTGTTGCAAGGATCTTACTCTCTCTACAATCATAGCTTTCCCTTAACATTATGTCACTTAAATACTGGTATACTTTGGATCTTAGGTGTTCCCTAAAGATGGCAAAGAAGATAATCCATTCAGAGCAATTACAAGTGTTCATGTTTGCAGTAAAGAGCAGAAGTGATTTAAAATCATAATTGTGATACAAAGGCATAAAGTGAATGGCAAAAGATTCAGCATGTATGTGAATCTTAAAGTAAAAGCAATATTTGAAGGCACACTGATAGATTTTTATCTTAAACTAATGAAGTATACCAACCCACAGATAGAGAATGTTGTAATAACTTCAAAGAAGATAAATACAAAGCAAACTAAAGTCGGTCAGATAACAGTAAGGTTGTTGAAAATTTTAAAACAGGAAAGGTATGAAAAAGTAGCTAAAGAGAAAAGGTCACAGGCTCAATAACAAACCTGATAGCCATCATCTCAGGAAAGGACTATGAAAGTCATCTTGAAAGTGCTGGAAAAATAATTTCCAATCCAACTTAACTACCTAACAAAGCTGTTTCTCAAAGGTGGTATTGAAATACAGATGTGTCTGAATATTTTTTAAAACCTAAAGAGATTTCTTCACTATCAGGCCAAAAGAAATGTTCAGGGCCCAGTGAGGTGGTAGATGCCTTTAATCCCAGCACTCAGGAGGCAGAAGCAGACAGATCTCTGTGAATTCAAGGACAGTCCACTCTACATAGTGAGCTCCAGGGCCTAGGGCTAACAGGAAAACCCTGTCTTAAAAAGACAGACAGAGAGAGAGAGAGAGAGAGAGAGAGAGAGATTGTAAAGGGCCACTTGGGAAATTTCTCTTGAAGGTTAAAGACAAGGAAAATCTTTGCTTCTTTGTATCTTTTCTTCTGATAACAATGTTTCTTTTGCTAAGTGTTGAGATTGTTATTGTTTTCTGTAATTTGGTTTGGAGGTCTCTCCAAATAGATAGGAGATGTGGAGATGACAGGAAGGCCAACCAGTGGAAGAGAGAGAGAGAGAGAGAGAGAGAGAGAGAGAGAGAGAGAGAGAGCGAAAGAGAGAGGTTCAAATTTTTCAGAAGAAAAATGAATTCAGAAACACAAACAAAAATTAACTATACAAAACCATATTAATTCATTGTTTATATAGAAGATAAGTCAAAGTCACAACAGAAACAGGTAAATGGAGTTATTCAAGTTCTTAGCACTATCTTGATATGAGAAAAGTATTGATTTATGCCTTAGCACGTCAATAACATGCATTATAGTCTAGAAAATCAATTAAAGAGCTAACAGAAGAATATATGATTTTAAGTCAGGCGTAAAAGGTAGTGGTATCAGCAAGATAATATTATAAAAATTCCTAGACAGCCCTTTCCCTAACAGTCATATGATGTCAAGAATGCACAAACCAGTTCCCCCACTGTGAGAAATCTAGAAATGAACTGAGAAGCTCCTGCACTCCAAACAAGTGCAAAACTTCCATTTCAAAGCTGGTGAGAAAATTCAGAGACCCTTCTCACCAAAGTCTACTCTTCCAGAACAGTGCCACTCAATCAGGAGAAATCAACACCTCTCTGAAGAGTTAACATGAAGAGTGAGCATGTATTCTACAATCTAGCTTTTCAAGT